ATTTAAATAACATATAAAATTATACAAAAAATAGTATAAAAATTATTTTTGAATTTTTTAAAAAATTAATTAATTATAGTGTAAAAAATTATTTTTGAATAAGTTTGGTTTAGTTTGAAACTTATAGGTTTTTTTTGTTTAAATTCTTGTGTTAAGTTCAATTAGTAGTTTTAATTTTTTACACTATAATTAGTTAATTTTTTATTTAAAAAATATTCAAAAAATAATTTTTTATATAATTTTTATATGTTGTTTAAATAATTAACTTTTTTTTATTCATTTGGAACATGTGATGTTGAGTACATTTATTTATTTAATAACATATAAAAATTATACAAAAAATTATACAAAAAATTATATAAAAAATTATCCCTATATTACTATTCCTTTTCTAAATTAAGCATGTAGCTTTAAATAAGGAAGTGGGAAATTTCTCTCCCATTTTTTAGGCCACATGTTAGCTTAAGTGGGGCCACATGTTAGCTTAAGTGGCGCCACACACTGTGGCTTACATGGCACCACACAATTAGAATTGTGAAGTTCTGTTAATGTAGTTAACAGATTTGCATGCAATAGATGAAAATAAAATAGTTTTGAAAGTTAATAGATGAGTTTGAAAGAAAATCAAGATTTTAGACTAACATGAAAAAAGAGTAATAGTTAATAGATGATTTCTTAAATTAATTCATTTATTACTATAGTAACATACTATGAAAAATTATCTTCTTTAAAAAAAATTCTTTATAAAAAAATTAGCTGGATTAAAATTTTACCCTTTAATTTTCTATTATATTTACAACTCAAAATTTTCATAATAAGTCAATTGTTTTATTGTAATGAATTGTAAAACAAAAATCATTAGACGAGGAAACATGTTATTTAAATGTTTCTATTTGCAATTCAAACTATAAAACATTGTAAAACATAAATTTTTAAATGAGGAGGCTTCTAATATAAAAATTTATGTTTTGCAATTCAAATTATATAATGGTTTTTGTCTCATAATTATTAAGAAGAGAACTATGTTTGCCAAGGTCTGTAAAAAATTGGTCAGAATGTAACTATTGAGACTGTTATAGTTTTATCCTCATGGTTCTTTATTGAACAAGAAGTTCACAATAGCATCTAATCAAACTAAATACTGATGAATTGTACAAAGCACAGTTAAGGTATAATATTAATTCTCTATAAAACTTGAGGAATAAATTAATTTTTTTTCAATATACTTCAGAGGAAGAAAGATATGCCCCGCTTTGATTCCATATTTAAATGAGACATTAGATTCAATTAGATCCTTCCCCTTAGTAAATTCATCTATGTTCTGCCCACTGTGATTCTCATTGTTTAGTAGTCTAAGGTCATCCTAGTTATTAGTATTTTCAAGACTTACAAATTCATTTTCAGGGATATCAATCAACTTCTAATTAGTATGATTCAAGAGAAAAATTAATCTCACAATTGTGGGAAGAGGGCACAATATCTCCAAAGTTTTTATAAATAGCTCTTACATTTAAAATACTAAATATATTGATTTTCAATTTTTTATAAATAATATACTTTTGCTAAAAAAATAAAATAAAATATTTAATGAAGTAATTTATCACACTTCCGAACTCATCATCCATCTAGCACGCACTTCGCAATTACAAATCAACATTTTAAGACAAAATTTTATTTTTTCTTTAATTTTTAGTGTTTAGTATTTTATTGTGTTATTATAATTCTCTTATTTATATCTTAGTTTACGTTTATTATAAGATTTGAGTTTATTAGCTTTAATAATTGAGCTCAAATTATTTGTTATGAACTTTTGACATGAAAAATTATTTAGTTACAATAAATTTTTAAAAATTTAATTGTGAAATGAAACAAAGCCCCCTTTAAAGAAATAAAACATTCTCAAAGAAAGGCAGGCTTTCTTAAAAGATTGTAATAAACTTACATTTCTTTAATATTAAATTTAAAAAGGATTGAAAGATTAATGTTTTGATAATAGAAGATTCATTAGAATATTGAAATGTTTTGGAAAGAATGTGTAATCAACAAATAAAAAATTGAAATTCTTTTAAAATCTACTTATGAATGAATCTATTTATTATTTGAATATAAATTTATAAATATTTTGAATTATTTTATATAAAGAATATGAATATTGATGAAGACACATTAGAGATGATACACTTCTTTTTAATGCCTCAAATATGCTCTATAAATAACAATCTCAATCAGGTAATTTTAACATATACATCCAAAATAAATACATGCCTTATTATTACTAACAAAATTATGAAGTTTAGATGAAAAAAATCATTAATAACAACCATTAGTTTGATTCCCCTCCTTAGAAAGAATGAAAAATTAAATGATAATCATTATTATGAATATGGTTATAGAAATGAAATGATACAAAAATGAAAAGATTTGCATAATAAGTTAACAAATTTTGAGAATTCTTATTATAGACATGATATAAATAAACATTAATCACATATTTTTAGTATATTTAATCAATTCATGTACTTACCATATATTTTCAAGCATTTGCTTGATTTACAATAAAAGGGAAAATGTGCGAAGACAAATTTGGTGGAGAATAGTTATATGGACATGCACTTTTGATACACAATTTGATTTTAAACTTGAATATCTCATTGCTATTTTGAAAATATTAAAGAAAAATATTCAAGTATTTGAGAAATCAAAAATTCATTCTAATGTGTAACTTATGAATTAAAAAGAAAATATTTTTAATATCAAGTTTTCAATTTACTTCTAATAAGTAGATGAGGTGCGTAAATATATTTTGACATAAACATGAGTATTTCTATATTAATATTTTTATACAATTAATCTTATACAATGTCTTCCAATACATTGATTTGATTAAGTATGAATGGAGAAATATTTGAAAAAATGAATCTCAATTATTAGTGATGAAATTAGTGACAAAATGCTGAAATTGTGTAGGATTCTATCACAAGTATAATGAGAGCAACGACTTGTTACTTCAGATAGGAGGAGTTCGGTATGAAGTAATTCAAAAAACGCCAAACTTATTTCTTTCTTCTCCCGTTCGCGACTTCTCTCATACTCCCCTCACCCCCTCCCAATTGCTGCATCTCTGTTTCTTCTGTGTTCTCTGTTTCCAGTCCTTGCACTCCACACCATTCCACGGTGTAAATAGCAAGAAGGTGCAAGATCTCACGTGTCAGCATCACAGTAAACTCTCATGAATTTGTCCCCCTTCACTGCTCGGTACAAATCAGGGGCAAGAACAGGCCCTTCCCACCAAGCAAGAGGAACCCGGCAACTGCTCTGAAGTTCTCTTTGTCTGTTTTATCTGTTTTCTTTGTCTTTTGCCATCAAATGACGACAATTGAAGGGGGAGATTTGAACAGTTTAGATGGACAAAGGTTAGGAAAAAATTAGAGTTTGTATGGTATTTTCTTCCTCTATAAATGGATAAAAAAAAAAAAAGTTTCCTCCCTATCTTATTAATATGGTAACATACTATGAAAAATTGTCTTCTTTTAAAAAATATTAATTTTTAAAAAATTATCTTGATTAAAATTTTATCCTTAAATTTTCTATTATATTTACAATTCAGATTTTTCATAATAATTTTTGTTTTATTATACCAAATTATAAAATAAAAAATATTTATACGAGATAATTTAAAGTATAAAATAATTTTTTATTTCATAATTATTAAGAATAGTATTCTATTTACCGAGGTCCGTGTTAAGACTGTTTTAGTTTTTGTTTCATACTTCTTTATTGAACAAGAGGTTCACAACAACATTTAATCAATTATATTCTGATGAATTGAACAAAGCATGGTTAAGGTCTAATTCTCTTTTAAACTTGAGAATAAATTTATTTTTTTTCAATATCCTTCAGAGTAGAGGTATGCTCTGCTTTGATTCTATATTTAAATGAGACAATTAGATTCAATTGGATTCTTCTCCTTAGTAAATTCATCCTTATTCCATCCATAGTGATTCTCATTGTCTTGTAGTATAAGGTCATCCTTGTTATTAACATTCTCAGACTTAAAAATTCATTTTCAGGGATATCAATCAACTTCTAATTGGTAGGATTCTAGAGAAAAATATCACAATTGTGGGAGGAGGACACAATATCTTCATGTGTTTTGATAATGAAGATATCAATTCCAACAAAGTGACATTTAGTATGACCATGCATTATTGTCTTAAAAGTAGAAACGTCCATTACGTTGCAAGGACGACCTTTGATGACAATGTGACCATTTTTTTGAATGATAACAACCTTGAGAGGATTTGTTTTCAAAGTGCTAGAGCTACCCTTGAATTTAAAATGGTGCTCCTATCCTCACATCATCAGCCCATGGTTTTAACTCGAAAAAGATGATAAACAAATAGAATTAGGCACACTTGATTACATTGTGATTTTACGCCGAAAAAGATGAAAAACAAAAACAATGATAGCATCTAGTACTTGCTTAAGGTATTGTTTTTGTGTTGACAAGTAATTTGCTTTTAATTATCTTAGTTTCCTCCAACTTCTTAAATTCTTAATTGTAATCATAACATATGGTTTGCAGCATGTTACTTCTAAAATTACATAGAGATTAAAGAATAATATTTTTTAGCTTAAAAATGAAACAACGACAAGATTTATATGTTCACCTTTTTATCTAATTTGTGTGATTCATAAGAATTAGTGCTAAAACCAAATTTCTTTCATTTCTTTCCTTTCCTACCTTCCATACTCTTTTCATGATCTTATTTGTATCAATTGTCATCATGTTTGGGCCGATTTACCTGTCAGCATGTAAATACTATATCTTGGTATTATCAAGTTGGCGCATTATCTCTTGGGGGCTTTAATACATGTAAAAGGAAAAGGACGACTGCATTAATATTTAACGTAGCTACTTTGACCCTGTCATTGATATGAATAAATTTTGTAGTGCATGATTGAAGAATATAACATTTTTTTAGGGGTGGGGGGGTGTAAATTAGGAGTATAACTTAATGGTTAGAAGTTTATTTCTTATATTTCATAGGGATAATTCTTATGAAAAATAGTGTTATGTAGTCAAAACTTTATTGAATTGTGTAATACTTATTATTGATAGGGTGAGGCTCTAATACAGGAGCTGTTCTCCCACTCATTAAAGTCAGAAGTGTACCTGCCAAAATTCCTTTAAAGACGCTAGAATTTACAAGTATACGTAAATTTTGCTTCTAGAAAAGCCAGAACCAGAATTGCTTTCCAAAAAAACCCAATTTGCTGTATTGAAGTTTCTGCAATGAGAAGCTGTTCTAAGAACTAAGCCAAATGAAATAAATATTGAAAGTTCTCAAACGCCTTGGTGGTATGTATTATAAATTTATAATTGCAAATACATAGGAATAACTCAAGCAGTAGAGAGCATCAGGAAGATGCCATTAATGAAATTATCTCAAAGCGAAATGAAACTTACTGTATAACATGAGATACGGCCTAGATTTAACTAATCATTTTCTCAGCAATTTCACTTTCTTGTTGGAGAGTATCATACAAAGTCTCCACAAGATTCAACAAGAATGAATCTGAACCGTGTCTGGCCAGCAAAGAGATTGACACAGGAAGGTTATCGTGCGTACCTAAAGGTATGCTCACCTGTAAATAGGATCCACATGTTAAAACTTGCTCAACACAAGAAAAATGTAAGATTTTGGATTCTTGGAGATGCAGGGAAAACCTGACAGAATCCGGATACTGATGCAATTGACAAAAAGCTGAAAGCTTGAGCTTCAAAAGCTTCCAGTGTTGTTGGATCTGTTTGTAGTTTGGGAGGAGCCCCAGGAACTGTGGGAAGGGCAAGGACGCCACAATCCTAACATATATGTTTCATTTCAGCAT